GTATTTAACTTTCTATTCCACGGCCCTCCAGAGCCACTGTCTCTCATCTAGGAAGACCCACAATGTTCAGCCTGGGCCCTGAAGCCCATGGCCTCTGCCATGCAACGTGAGTGAAAACAAGCTGTGGCTTTAAGCCAGAGACCTGGGCTTGCTTGTGAGTGGTGGAAGGAAGCCTGTCCCAGTGTATGGACTGTGGACTTTGCTACAGCAAACCCTATAGGACACTCCCTAGTGGCCTGACAGCAAAACACTTATCAGAAAGACAGAGACCAAGGTTATGCAAAACACTTGGCAAAACTGTCTCCAGGAAAACTGGGAAGCAAGTCAGGTATCAACGAACTTGTGCCCAAGAGAAGGGGCGGAAATACAGCTAGTCAAATGTGTGGGTGGCTGCGGCCACGCTTGCTGGGCGTTGACAAGCGAAGCTGTGTTTGACCACCGCAAGCAGCAGCAGCAAGCCCTGGAAGGGAGGACGGGATCTAATTTCTAAAGTTGTCACATTATGTTGTTTATTACTTTTACCGTTAGTTTTTTTGAGGCAGAGTCTTGCTCTGTTGCTCAGGCTGGAGTGCAGTGGCACGATCTTGGCTCACTGCTGCCTCGACTGCCCCCGGCTCAGGTGATCCACCCATCTCAGCCTCCTGAGTAGCTGGTGTGCACAAGTATGCACCACACCGTGCCTGGCTAAGTTTTTTGTATTTTTTGTAGAGATGGGGTCTTGCTATGTTGCCCAAGCTCGTCTTGAACTTCTGGGCTCAAGTGATCCTCCTGCCTTGACCTCCCAAAGTGCTGGGATTACAGGTGTGAGCCACTGCATCCAGGCCTATACCTTATTATATTTACATGTAAATATACGTATATATATTTTATATTTATATATTATATATGTATATATATGTGTGTGTGTGTATTTTTTGAGACAGAGTCTCACTCTGTCACCCAGGCTGGAGTGCAGTGGCGTAATCTCAGCTCACTTCAACCTCCCCCTCCCAGGTTCAAGCAATTCTCCTGCCTCAGCCTCCCAAGTAGCTGGGACTACAGGCGTGTGCCACCACATTTGGCTACTTTTTGTATTTTTAGTAGAGATAGGGTTTCGCCATGTTGGCCATCCTGACCTCAAGTGATCTGCCTGCCTTGCCCTACCAAAGTGCTGGGATTATAGGCGTGAGCCACCGTGCCCAGCCTCTATATTGTTTTAAATGTCTACTTTTCGGCCGGGCACGGTGGCTCAAGCCTGTAATCCCAGCACTGTGGGAGGCCGAGGCGGGTGGATCACGAGGTCAAGAGATCGAGACCATCCTGGTCAACATGGTGAAACCCCGTCTCTACTAAAAATACAAAAAATTAGCTGGGCATGGTGGTGCGTGCCTGTAATCCCAGCGACTCAGGAGGCTGGGGCAGGAGAATTGCCTGAACCCAGGAGGCGGAGGTTGCGGTGAGCCGAGATCGCGCCATTGCGCTCCAGCCTGGGTAACAAGAGCGAAACTCCGTCTCAAAAAAAAAAAAAAAAAAAAAAAAAAAAAGTCTACTTTTCAACAGAAAGTCATTAAACATGCAAAGAAACAGGAAAGTATGCTCATACACCTAAGAAAAGCAAATCAACAGAAAGAGCCACTGAGGAAGCCCAGGCATTGCACTTACTAGATGAAGACTTAAAATTAGCTATTATTGAATAGCCCTGTTCAAAGAGCTAAGGAAATATATATTTTTTTCTTTTTTTTCCGCCTGTGCCTCACAAGGCCCGAGTTGGGCATGGCTGCCCGCCCCCTGGGCCCCCGAGGACTGCTCTACCCCTCCATTCTAGCCGCCGGGAGCAGAGGAGCTCCGGCGAAGCTCAAGGGGACAGGAAATAATATTTAAAGAGCTAAACTATGACAGAAATCTCTCACCAGATACAGGATATGCATTAAGAGGTAAAAATTGTAAAAAGGTGGCTGGGAGCAGTGGCTCACGCCTGTAATCCCAGCACTGTGGGAGGTCAAGGCGGACAGATCACCTGAGGTCAGGAGTTTGAGACCAGCCTGGCTGACATGGTGAAACTCCATCTGTACCAAAAATACAAAAATTAACCAGGCATGGTGGTGCGTGCCTGTAGTCCCAGCTATTTGGGAGGCTGAGGCAGGAGAATCTCTTGAGCTCAGGAGGCAGAGGTTGTAGTGAGCTGAGATGGCGCCACTGCACTCCAGAATGGGCGACAGAGCAAGACTCTGTCTCAAAAAAAAAAAAAAAAAAAAAAATCCACCTCAAATCCTCATAAAGAAACACAGAGCACCAGCATAAACTTATTTTTTGCTTGTGTCTTCCTTTTTCCTGATTTAAAGGTAACTGCATAAAGTAATACTTACAATCTGCGTTGACGAGAACACAACGTACAAAGGTTCAATCTGTGGCAAGAATAGCACGAAGGAGGTGAAAATGGATGACGTGGAGCAACATTTTCGGATACTATTTAAGCATAGTCTGCAATAATTCAAATTAGATTGTTATCAAGTTATTTGTCAACAGTAATCCCCAAAGCAACCACTAAGAAAATAACTGTTTAAAAAAAGAGAAAGAAAAAGAAAAAAGGAGACAGAGTGGGCGGTAAGCTCAGACAAAATAGACTTTAAGACAAAAGTTGCTAATAAAGGAAAGGAAGGACATTTTATAGCAACAAAATGGTCAATCCATAAAAAAGATTTTTTCCCATTTATTTATTTTATTACATTTTAGGTTTTGGGGTACATGTGAAGAACATGCAAGATTGTTGCATAGGAACACACGTGGCAGTGTGATTTGCTGCCTTCCTCCCCATCACCTACATCTGGCTTCTCTCCCCTTGCTATCTCTCCCCAGCTCCCCATCCCCCCATAAAAAAGATATTATATTTATAAACAAACATGTGCCAAACAACAGAGCCTCAAAATACCTGGAGCAAACAGAATTAAAGAGAGAAACAGACAATTCAACGATAATAGTTGAAGACTTCAATACTCCACTTTCAATAATGAATGGAACACCTAGACAAAAATCAGCAAGGGAAGAGAAGACTTGAGCAACACTCTTAGATTTTACAGACATCGTTGGACCATTCCACCCAACACTAACAGGATACACACTTTTCTCAAAAGCACATGGGACATTCTTTAATGTAAGTCATATGTTAGACCATAAAACAAGTCTCAGTGAATTTCACTGGATTGGAGCCAAGCGCCGTGGCACATGCCTGTAATCCCAGCACTTTGGGAGGCTGAGGCAGGCAGATAACTTGAAGCCAGGAGTTCGACACCAGCCTGGTCAACATGGTGAAACCCTGTCTCTACTAAAGTTAGGCAGGCGTAGTGGCACACGCCCGTAGTGCCAGCTACTCGGGAGGCTGAGGCAGAGGAATTGCCTGAACCTGGGAGGTGGAGGCTGCAGTGAACAGAGACGGCGCCACAGAGAGAGACTGGCGACAGGGTGACAGACGGAGCCTGGGCGACAGAGAGCGACTCCATCTCAAAAAAAAAAAAGAAAAAAAATTTTAGTGGATTGAAATCATACAAAGTATGTTCTATGACCACAGTGGAATGAAATTAGAAATCAAGGAACAGAAGAAAATTTGAAAAATTCACAAATTTGTGAAAATTAAGCAACATGCTCCTAAATAACCCATGGATCAAAGAGGAAATTCTAAGGGAAATTAGAAAAACTTTGAAATGAATTTTTTTTTTTTTTTTTTTGAGACGGGGTTTTTCTCATGTTACCCAGGCTGGAGTACAATGGCGCGATCTCGGCTCACCGCAACCTCCGCCTCCTGGGTTCAGGCAATTCTCCTGCCTCAGCCTCCTGAGTAGCTGGGATTACAGGCACGTGCCACCATGCCCAGCTAATTTTTTGTATTTTTAGTAGAGACGGGGTTTCACCGTGTTGACCAGGATGGTCTCGATCTCTTGACCTCGTGATCCACCCGCCTCGGCCTCCCAAAGTGCTGGGATTACAGGCTTGAGCCACCACCCCCGGCATGAATTTTTTTAAAAATACCAAAACTTATGGGATACAATGGAAGCAGTGCTCAGAAGAAAATGTGTAGCTAGAAATGCCTGCATTAAAAAGAAAAAAACATCTTGAGAGGCTAAGGTGGGAGGATCGATCGAGGCCAGGAGTTCAAGACCAACCTGGGCAACATAGCAAGATACCACCTCTTTAAAACATTTAAAAATTAGCCAGGCGTGGTGGCACATGCCTGTACTCCCTGCTCCTCAGGAGGCCAAGTGGGAGGATCACTTGAGCCCAGGAGTTTGAGGCTACAGTGAGCTATGATTGTGCCACTGCACTCCAGCCTGGGCAACAGAGGAGACCCTGTCTCAAGAAGAAAGAAAAGGAAGGAAGAAGGAAGAAGAAGAAGAAAGAAGAGAAGAAGAGGAAGAAGAAGAAGGAGAGGAAGAAGAAGAAGAAGAAGAAGAGGAGGAAGAGGAGGAGGAGGAGAAGGAGAAGAAGGACAAGAAACAGCATTTTAAGTCAGTAACCTAACTTCCCTTCTTAAGGAACTAGAAAAGAAGACCAAATTAAATCCAAAGCAAGCAACAAGAAACAACAGGTTAGAGCCACCGGGCACGGTGACTCACACCTGTAATCCCCACACTTTGGGAGGCTGAGGAGGGTGGATCACGAGGTCAGGAGTTCAAGACCAGCCTGGCCAACACAGTGAAACCCCGTCTCTACTAAAAATACAAAAAATTAGCTGGGTGTAGTGGCAGGAACCTGTAATCCCAGCCACTAAGGAGGCTGAGGCAAAAGAATCGCTTGAACCCAGGAAGTGGAAGTTGCAGTGAGGTGAGACTGCACCACTGCACTCCAGCCTAGGTGACAGCTAGAGTCATCTCAAAAAAAACGAAAAGAAAAAAAAAAGAAATAATAAGTTAGAGCAGACATAAATGAAATAGAGAACAGAAAAACAGTAGAGAAAAACCAATCACATTAAAAGTTGATTCTATGAAAAGGTAAAATTGGCTTTCCATGCTGATAGCGCCCATACAATCATGGTGAATGTCCCTAAAGCCCCCGGACTCTGCAAGAAGCATGGCCAGTACCGACCCCACAAAGCGAGACAGTTCAAGGAGGGCAAGGATTCTCTGCATGCCCAGGGAAAGCGGCGCTATGACGGGAAGCAGAGTGGCTATGGTGGGCAGACTAAGCCGATTTTCCAGAAAAAGGCTGGAACTGAAACGAAGATTGTGCAAAGGCTCGAGTGCATTGAGCCCAACTGCAGGTCCAAGAGAAGGCTGGCCATGGAGCGACGCAAGCATTTTGAGCTGGGAGGACACAAGAAGAGAAAGGGCCACGGGATCCAGTTCTAATCGCCGCCTTTTCTTTTATTATGAAGACAATAAAATCTTGAGTTTATGTTCAAAAACAAGACAACAAAAAACAGCAAACTGACACTCTTTAGCCAGACTTACCAAGAGAAAAAAGAATGCAAAATGGGTTCAATATGTGAAATTTAAGCAACGTAATACATCCTCTTAAATTAGTCAAAGGAGGGAACAAACGTGAGGCATTTTCCTGAAGACAAACAAATGGCAGAAGGGCACACAAAAAGACACTTGGTGTCATTGGTTATTGGAGAACTGCAAATCAAACCACTAGGAGATACTACTTTATACTCACTAGAATGGCCGTGATTTATTTTTATTTATTTATCAGTTATTTATTTATTTACGTTGAGACAGAGTCTCGTTCTGTTGCCCAGGCTGGAGTGCAAAGGTGCAATCTTGGCTCACTGCAACCTCTGCCTCCCGGGTTCAAGAGAGTCTCCTGCCTCAGCATCCCGAGTAGCTGGGATTACAGGCGTGCACCACGATGCCCCGCTATTTTTTTTTTTTTTTTATTTTTAGTAGAGACAGGATTTTACCACATTGGCCAAGCTGGTCTCAAACTTCTGAAGTCAAATGATCTGCCTGCCTCGGCCTCCCAAAGTGTTGGGATTACAGGCATGAGCCACTGTGCTTGGCCTCATAATTGATTTTTAAAAATGGACAAAAACAAGTGTTGGTTGATGAAGAGGTGGAGAAATTAAAATCCTCATACATTGCTGAAGGGGACAAAAAATGGTGCAGCCACTTTGGGAACCAATGACAATTCCTCAAAAAGTCAAACCCGAATTACAATACGACCCAGCCATTCCATTCCTAGGTATATACCCAAAAGAATGGAAAACATGTCTATACAGAAACTTACACATTCATGTTTACAGGAGAAGTATTCATCGTAGCTAAAAAGTGAAAACTCAAATGTCCATCAACAGTGAGTGGATAAAGAGAATGTGGATTTTCCTGCAATGGAATATTATTCAGCCATGAACAGGAACAAAACACTGACACATACTATGGCTTGGATGAGCGCTGGACACATGCTGCTGGATGAAAGAGCCAGACGTGAAAGTCCGTACATAGCCTGATTCCCTTCATAGGAAACACCCAGAGAAGGCCAATCCCCCGGGACAGAAAGCAGAGTAGGTTTCCAGGGGGTGGAGAGTTCCTGTTAAAAGGTGTGGGGTTTGTTTTGGGGGTGATGGAAATGTTCTGGAATTACGTAGTGGTAATGGTTGCATAACCTAATTGTACCAAAAACTACTGTGGATTGTACACTTTAAAGGGGTGAATGTGAGAGATTATTTTAATGCATGAAGCGTGTGTTGAGAGGGAGAGAGATGTTTAGACAAGAACAGGCTGCGTTGAGAGCAGGCATGAACGGGAAGGACGCCAGTCGTATCGTCAGGGACTTACAAAGCTGGAAGCGACAACTAGTGAGCCCTAAGCAGAAACGCTTTGAGTGACAGAGCCTAGCGTACCTCAGCCTTAAATCAAGGATTAAGTCCAGAGTAAGGCCGACGCCCACAATTAAATCTCTGCAAATACTTCTAAGTAACAAAATGGCTCCGGGAAAAGAACCTAAAGGTCCCTGCAGGGACTGCGGTGCTCATGATCAAGTCAAGAACTAGAGGCCGGAGTGCACAAAGCGAAGCTGCTGTCAGACCTTTCGTCTCCGGCAAGGATCTGCCGCGTGGCCCTGGCCTGCGGAGCCGCCGGGATCAGATGGGGAGGAAGACAATTCCCTCTGCCATTTCTTTAAAGTTTTTATGGTGGAAAATTTGAACACACGCACAAGCGAACAGAGTAAGATAAAGAGCTCCCAGGCGCCATCACCCGCTTCAACAACGAGAAGCCCGTGGCCAGCCTTCCGTCCCCAGGCCCCATCCATCTCCCACGTCCCATCCTCCGTGTATGTCTATCAAAGACAAGGGAGCTTTTACAAAACCATAATCCCAGCATCACTACTGGGCCTTAATATCAGCAAACAATAAGGGCCCTTACATTTGTAAGACCGCCACTAAAGTTCACAAGCCGTACGTGGGTCTATGAAACGGCAAGCATGCTGTGCCAGGCACCGAGCCCAGACCCCAGCTGGAGTCCCAGCGCTCACTGCCCAGGGATTGCCCCATGCCAGCCCTGCCCTCTGCAACCCCAAGCATGAGTTCTAGGATCTGGGACAGGAATGTGGACCCCAGAGAGGGACTCAGGGCCAGCAGGCTCCCCTCCCCTCGGGCTTCTGACTCAGGATTCCTAGGAATTCCAAATGTCTCTGAACTATTGATACCACCGGCCGCTGAAGGGCAGGAGAGTGCTGTCTCTACACCGTCCGGAGATCGGGGGCAGTGGCCTGGAAACTGATGGTGCCTGCCTGCCTTTCCCTCTGCTTTCCCGCAGAGACCTGGACTGTCTGTCTCTGCCATCCCACATCTAGGGACGGTTCCTCCACCTTGAATCCTAGGGTAGGGTTACAGTATCCCTGGTTCAGCAAAGCTAGTAACATTGCTGAAAATGGCTACCCTGAACAACACAGTTTCTTTTTCTTGTTTTTTTGTTTTTTGTGTTTTGAGACGGAGTTTCGCTCTTTGCCCAGGCTGGAGTGCAATGGCGTGGTCTTGGCTCACTGCAACCTCTGCCTCCCGGGTCCAAGCGATTCTCCTGCCTCAGCCTCCCTGGTATCTGGGACTACAGGTGCGCGCCACCACGTCCAGCTCATTTTTGTGTTTTTAGTAGAGACGGGGTTTCACCTTGTTGGCCAGGCTGGTCTGGAACTCCTGACCTCAGGTGATCTGCCGGTCTCAGCCTCCCAAAGTGCTGGGATGCCAGGTGTGAGCCACCATGCCCGGCCAACAACACATTTTCAGTGTAGACAAAACAACTTTCTCCTGGAAGAAGATGCCATCTAAGACTTTCATAGCGGGAGAGAGGCCAGTGTTTGGCTTCAAAGCGTCAAAGGGTGGGAGGATCACTTGAGCCAGATGTTTGAGACCAGCCTGGGCAACAGGGTGAGACCCTGACTCTGCAGAAAAATACAAAAATTAGCCGTGTGTGGCAGCGTATTCCTGTAGTCTCAGCTACTTGGGCAGCTGAGGCAGGAGAATTGCTTGAGGCCGGGAGGTTGAGGCTGCAGTGAGCTGTGATCACCATTGCACTCCAGCCTGGGCAACAGAGTGAGACTCTGCCTCTTTAAAAAAAAAAAAAAAAAAAAAAAAGAGCCAGGCACAGTGGCTCACACCTGTAATCCCAGCACTTTGAGAGGCTGAGGCAGGCGGAGTAGAGACAGTGAAACCCTGTCTCCACTAAAAGTACAGAAATGAGCTGGACGTGGTGGCGTGCACCTGTAGTCCCACACACTCGGGAGGCTGAGGCAGGAGAACCACTTGGATCTGGGAGGCGGAGGTTGCAGTGAGCCGAGATTGCACCAGTGCACTCCAGCCGGGGCGACAGAGCGAGCCTCCGTCCGCCTAAAAAAGAAAGAAGTGATACACTGGTGCGGTTGTCACCTCGTGGGATTCTTGTTAGAGATTATTTAGTGCGTTTTGGTCAGAGGACCGTCTACGGGATATTGATCATTTGGGTTGTTCCAGAACTTCTCTGTGGCCTGACAAAGGAGCGGAAGTGGCCCACAGGATCAAAAATAAAAAAGGATGGGTGAGCCTCGAGCGCCTCTGCATTTGTGTCTCTGGGCCCCGGCGTCTGTGAGGTCTGCTCTGCAAGCTGGGGCCTGCTGTCCCTGTGGTAGACAGGCATCCAAGACCGTCGCTTGGAGCCCACCGGTTGCCGGGTGTTGTCTGCTCCGTTTCCAGGGGGTCCGGGGGTCTCCTCATGGCGAGTGTGGCTGCGCCCCGCACCTCCTGCAGTGTTTGGAGAACTTTCCTCGTCTTGTTCCGCGGCCCTGTGCCCTGTGCTTTCGTTTCTTGCTTTGCACTGGACGCGTCGTGCTTCCTCTGCCGGCCTGCTGCGTGAGGCCTGCACGTCCGCTCTGACCTTGGCTGCCTTGGGGCTCGGACAAGCTTGTCCTGCTCCTGTCCGCTGCAGCCGAGCTGCCTGCTCCCCGGGCCCCTCTCGCCGTCCCTGGGCCCGGAGTGTGCGTGGGGCTGCACTCCCTCCTCTCCCTCCTCAGGCGCGTGGTTGTGACCCCCCATGCACCCATCTGTTTCTTTTCTCATTTTCTTCTTCCTGACCCCTCCTCATGTTCACACCATAGGAGGGACTGGAGGCCCGAGGCCGCTGTTCTCACGATGGGCTCATGTTTAAGAGACAGCTGGACGGCCAGGGAAAAAGGCCCAAGATCGGGGATGGGGTCTGAGGCCGGGATGAAGGTCTGAGGTGGAGAAAGACGTCTAAGGCAGGGAGGGAGCTCTAAGGTGGGGAGGGCAGGGTCCTCAGGAGGGCAGCGGCAGGGATGGCAAATGGGGCCCCTCCCATTTCCACGCCTTCACCCCAGGCCCATGCATTCTACCTATTGGGGAGGAGATGCTGAGGACGCCGTGCTTATGGGTTCGGGGCATAGGCCCCGCCCTGGAGCGCAGTGCCCAGCTCCACAGCCCATGGCCACCGGCTGCCCCTTGAGCATGACTCCGCAGGGCATTTCCGCCACCTGAGCGCCGCAGCTCTGGCGCTGCCATGCGGATCACCACGGCGACCACAGGGCCCTCGAAGGGGCTTGTCGTGCTGCCTGTGCTGCCTTTGCCAAAAGCGGCCCCTGGGGCTCAGCTGTGTTATGTGGCATCCTGCCAGGCACAGCTCCCTAGGCTGGGAGGCGTTCCTCCCCTTCCCTGCCGAGAAAGAGGAATAGAAGCAGTTTGTGGTTTCCTGGGATGGATGACAGTGGGATCCCTCTCCTCGGGCTTTGTCTCAGGCTGTGTCACGGGGCGGTGGCACCCTCACGCCCTCTATCACCCTGCAGCCCAAGGGCCCCCATCACCTGGCAGGCCATGGAGCATCATGGTGGCCCACTGTGGCAGGGGCTGTGGCATTGGGACCTG